CAATGCAAATCGTTTTCATGCCAGAGTGCTGGCTGTTCTCAATCATAATGGCAACACAGAGTAATTCAATTTCTCTTCCTGGCAGCCGTAGTTTATCATGCTCGCACATTTTTCTTTATGCCTCGGGTCATGCTGGATAGACACTGTAAGTTATTCTCTTATGATTCCTTATACGACGGCAAAAATCTCTTTCCCCTTTGCTTGGCAATATCAAATCTGTGGCCAGAGTGGGAGCCGATTCCTTTAGGAGGCCATAGCTCAGTTGTGACAGGATTGATAATGGAGGGAACTGATGGAAGACTGCAGGGAAAATGAAGCTGGCGATAGACGCCGATCATTACTGGAGCAGCAAGCCACAGCCTCTGCGTGAGGAAGGAGAGAGGCTGGCAGATTGTCACCATATTCCCAAGTTTTCACTGCCCGGCTTCTCTCTCCTCCTTCCCTGTTTGCGTGACATAAATAAAAAATGCTTAGCTCACGGCGTAAATACACCTTCAGCTGATTGTTCTGTGAAAGAACAGTTGGATGAAACGATTCGGTGATGAGGGGCAGATGTGCAGTGATGTTCCCTGCAGCTCCAGGAATGTGTGAAGGACAATAGATAGGCAACAACCACTCTGCGCTCTGAATATTGATGCGCTGCGTATCAGGGAAGTGTGTTTTGTTTTGATAAGAATACAAATTTAGGCAATGGCAATTTCTGCCAAAGCAGAGAGCCCAATCGTTTCTCCGAGTCAGGCGTGTTTTGTGCCATGAGAGGCATTCGGTTAGCTGTTACTCATGTGTTTGTCATGTGTGGGCTTGTTCAGGCGCTACAGTCTTCAACCTGCAGGACGGGATAACCAGTCATGTATGTGTGCTGCATAAGCTATGGGCGGGTCCGGCCGTTTGCACTAGAGTAGCTCAAGTAAAACTTGAGCTCAGTGAAAATGAAGCCAAAGGGGAAGTTTCAATCCTCATATGCCACCATGTTAACATGTCAAACTGTGCTGGAGAAATAAGCATGCTGATTGGGAGGTGGATGCCAGCACAGGCAGCTGTAGCTGATAACTGTTCGCCAATTTTAAACTCCATTAATTTGGTTCAGTGGAACTGAGAAATGTGTATTTGTTGATTGGTTGGCGAGTGTTTGCCGGAATTTGTGAGCAGCCACTGTGAAATTGATCGCTAAAGCCTCAGTCACACAGCCATAGAGACCAGTGACTGACCCCCTGACAGCTACAAATCATCATGGGACCTTCTGCTCAGCCGCTTACAATTTACTTAACAACTTTAAGGTCCAGAGATATTTGGATATATATAATTAATAATAATCTGAGGTTATGTTTGAACATAAATGTCTCAAAACCTGTTAAAGATAGCATAAACATGAACCAGGACCTGCAATTGAACACTAATGCAAAAGGAATTTTTTTTTTTAATTAAATTCTTATATACAAAAATAAAGAAAATCTTCATTCAGCTTTCATGCTGGATTGAGCAAATATGTCAAGTTGTTCCACAGAAACAGAATATCAGTAGATAGTCTAACCCAAAGTGAAAAGTTTCCAGATAGAACTGTAATTATAATTAAGAAGTAATTGTATTACATATGTGCATGTTTTTCATTTCCCAGACAATCTTTGTAGGCATGCATGATGTCCTGGAAGAGCTGGATAACTCAGGTTAAATTAGAATGACACTAACAGGCATTCTGTCCCAGATTACAGCTCTGATCCATTTTCTTTATGGTAAGAAAGGCCATGTGTTATTTCAGGCTTTTGACTGTAATAGTTTTTGAGATATTCATGTTCAAACACTGCCTATTTCGACGTGAAAATTGAAAATGCAAATAAAGACATTTGATTTGGGCCTCAGTTTTCAGTTTCAAACCCTACAATCTACTTTGGAGGTCATCTGTCACCCTGTAAATGTTGATCGGTTTGCTAGCATTCCCAAATTGTTCTTTAATGTTTTTTTTTCTTTGTAGCTGCCACAGGAAGGTAAGAGACAAACGAAGGTCAGTATTCATCATGCAGTGTGTTAGAGGCTATAATAACAGAGGGCTGAGAGCATGGCTTTGGAAGTGGACTATTATTCATCACACAGCCCTGAAGCTGTATTATCTGCCATGGTAGCCACGTTGTGTTGATTTAAAAATGGGATTGGTAACGTGTGTACACAGAATATAAAATGCCTGTAGGCACTCAGCTGTTGAATTGTCTCCGGTCAGTGATCTCTCTCACACACACACACACCCATTCAGCAAACAGTCTGTCCTCGTCCTTAATGCTTAACTTCAGCTCTGCTGTTTTCACATTAGCAGATCACCGATGCGCAAAGAGTGCAAAAACCTTCGCTGCGCTCACACCGGCCGTTAAACCACTTCTGGCCTGAACTGTTTGCTAATGTGAGTCTAGTGTTGAATGCATTTTTTTTTCAAGCACCTATCGTGTGTGTTGGCAGTGAATGCCTGCAACTCTCAGTTTAATGAAGCACAGTGACTGTTGGAGCAGAGGTGGCAAGTAAAAGGTTTTCCTAGTCTGTTGTTAAATATGCGGGGAGGTGTTTGGTGTCAGAGGTTAACTCTGTAGTGACAGAGTAACTAGATTATTTCTGGCCACTTTGGATAGCGTGGTTATGTTTTCCGGGATTAATGTGACTGGGAGAAAAGTCAAATTTGGCTGCGGCTGAAAACAGCACACAAAGCACTTATCAATATTAAATCTCTCTGGGTGTGTTGGGCCACTTGTTGTCGATCTATTTTCGCTTGTGAGCCCTTAAAACGAAGCTCTGTCCCTCATTGTAGGTTATGGTCTTATTGTGGACATACCCATACAGGGCCAAATGGCTACCTGTGGTTTAATGTGGACTGCCCTACAGCATGCTGTGTGGGTCTACCCACAGTGTTTTCTGGGCGAGTTGTTAGCAGGGAAGCAAAAGTATGTTTTTAGCCTCTCAAATGGTGTATATTTGAACATTTAAAGGCTAAAGAAGTGTGGTATTGTCTGAGGAAAGTCAAGAGTGGCAGAAAGGGTCATGCGTGACATTTATGAGGACAGTGAGACAGCGCTCAGATGTGCAGCAGGGGTGGGACTCCTTGTCTGCATTGGTGAAGGACAGGTTTACAGGTAAGGTCAGGCAGGATTCTTCATGGACTATGATTTTCGCAGCCAACATTATGATCTGTAGTGAGAGTAGGGAGCAAGTATACGCTGGAGAGAGGAGGAATGAAAGTCAACGAACACAAGACAGAACACACGTGTGTAAACGAGAGGGAGACAGGTGTAACAGTCAGCCATCTGAACAAGAGAGGTGAAGAAGAGAGTGCAGGCAGGTTGGAGTGGGTAGAGACGAGTGAAAAGGTAGGTTTACAGGTGATAGTGAGACCTGCTGTGATGTATGGTGTGGAGATTTTGGCGCTAGCAAAAAGACAGGAGGCCAAGCTGAAGAGTTTGAGATTTTCATTGGGAGACACCAGAATGGACGAGATTGGAAGTGAGTACATCAGAGAGACAGCTCAGGTTGTGCAGGGTGGAGACACAGTAAGAGAGGCAAGGATGAGGTGGTTTGGACGTGTGCAGAGGAGGGGTAGTGGATATGTTGTAGATGGTCTCTATAAGGGATGGAGGGTGGGTGCGCTGTAAATGGATATTTAACTTGTTACGGGCAAATTATAGTGAGGGAGTGTCAGGATCTCACGATGTTCCTGTTCATTCTACTAATTCGACGTCTTTTACAGTCCTGATAAGAAAGCTGAGACTTTGACACTACAGCTTATTCAGGTTTCCTTACCCAGTGCACTGCAGCTTTTAGACATTTTTCAGTGTGTGCTATCAGACAGAAGGCACCTTCATATTGGTTTCACCGCAAGTGTGGGCAGCCCTTAATTGCTCTCTATCTCTATCTGCAGCAACTCGAATTTGACTCATGGGACCAATTTGCTTCACTCTTGCTGTCCACATTTTTCTTCATTGTGTGATACATAACTGATACACAAGCCCTTGTATCCTGAGGTTTTAGGTAATTGTCATTAACTTTTTAAAGCACTTTCACAGTTTGCTTGAACCACTGCGGTACTAAAAGTTTTAGGTTAAGCTTCAGCTTAAAGTGCGTGTTACTTATTGCTCGTTTGAAACGTTTTCCCTCTTAAAGCGCTCACTCCAAAGCTGCGTGAGAAACGGCACATCTGGTCTCTTCGTGTCTATGTTCCTGTGATAGGAGACTTGCCTGCCCCCTTCCTCTCATGAAAACGGACAGCTCCCTTGTTCTTCTTTAATGTAATATTGATTGACCAAACTCCCAGCTTGAAGGCCAAGGGATGGGAGAGTGTGTGCAGCATCACTGGGCATTAGTGGGATGAAGATGTATCCAAGCGGGAACCCTTCTGACTTTCTGAGTGTGCAGATTGTGGTCAGATTTAGTGCGCTTTAGTATTTAGTGTGTTAAATTATGCTTGCAACTTAAATACCTGCACTGTGAAGGTATACAAGCATGGATTAAAAAGACGGCAGAAGGACTACGCCCAGTGAATGCCAAGCGTAGGACAAAGAAGTACTCCTGCTGATTAGAATAATGAACTTCTCAGTGGATGTGTTCTCCATACTCAGGAGTCTGGGAGAAACCTGAGGTCTCACTGTGTGACAGTACGTCTCTTATTTACAAATGCACTTGTCTTTCATTTAAGCATTTAATACCATTGTCACAAAAATAATTAAAGTCATGCATCAGTTTGCTCCTTGTGACATAAAAGCATATTAGGAAGCCACGATGTAATTAAACACCACTGTGAACTGGCTTGTGGCAGAAGGTTTCCAAGTGCTTCTTTTTGGTTGTTCAGATGCTTCCTTTTAGTATTCCGTGGATCTGTTTACTCTCCAACATCTGCTGACATGACAGTTTGCAGAGGGCGGGGTTTGTGTGTCTGTGTGTGTGTGTCTGTGTGTACGTGAGAACACAAAGAAAAAAACTGAGTCATTTCTTTCCTTTCATTCATTCTCCCTTCATATCCTTCTTTACAGATTCAGCACAGAAGGCCTCCGCTTGGAAGTTATCCAGCTCTTTTCTACGCTACAAATGCTCCCTCTAGCGGTAATATGATGTTATTACATCCACATAATATTAAAACTTTTATGTCACACGTGTGCACCTGGTTTGTGACTTTACTTGTGGGTGGTCAGACTGGCCTTATCTGTGCACATATTTGGAATAATAAATGCAAAACTTAACACTCAAACTAACCATAACCCCCCACCCCCACCCCCTTCACTGTGCAGCAGATGCATCTTTGAAGTACAAACATGGGCGTTTGGTTCTGGAAGTCCCCTTGCCATCCAGGAATGAGAAGTGTGTGTTTTTTTTAAGGCCCATGTTGATGAGCGTGGGCGACTTGATCGGCAATCTGCAGAAAGAGGACCCAGGAGCTACCGCCTCAGTTCTCTCTAACGGTAAAACATGCTCAGTATGCAACAGGTGCAGTCGGTCTGGTTCGCCGGGTTGTGCACAAAAAGGATGAACGATAGCAAGTCAAGCAAGATGCCTCCACAATAATCATTTACTCATTTTCACATTTACACTGAGCAGTTATCAGTCAATCACCTTCCACTGCGAGTAACTGTGGCTGTTTGTAGTACAATAGGTCGCGGTTCCCTGCGCTTTAAAACAGGGCGGTGTCTGTTTTATGATCTTGTAGCACAGATCATTGCTTTTAAAAGAAATTCATAAACCGTGCAATTCTGGGTAATACTGCAGTGTATTTTACATGCAGATAGTCTTGCAAACCTCTGTGGCTCCTCAGTGAGCAGGAGGGAGTGGCACAAGGTTACACTGGTCTACACGATCTTCACACACCTGTGTCTATCAAGTTATGTGTTGCCTTGAGCGTGCCATTTTTTGACACAGTGGAGAAAAATAGGACAATTTTCTGTAACAATACTCCACACTTCCTTTTCAAACTTCTAATCATTTTGTAGCCACTCACATCTGAGTTGGTATGGGAACCAGAGCGGTTAGGAAGAGTATCTGATGCAGTCCTCCTTAAGTTACTTTAAGGGTAACTCGTGAAAAGTGTATTTTTCCATGAAAGCGACAGGTGAGGCAGGTTGTGGCAAAGATTTTTATCACTTTAGAAGACCTGACATGTTAGACCAGAGCAGCAGAGATTAGCAGATGAGCTTTTTCCCACACAGATCTCGTTCCCATACATGAACTGTAGTTATGCAGTGCTGAACTACATTCTGTAAGCTGTAAATTACTGACTTTGTCCATCACCGGGGGGTTTATTTGATAAACTTTTTGTTGCTATAATGTTTTATTGAATTTGTTTGGTCCCTCTGCCCGCAAACCTTTTTTTTCACGGTATAAAAGATAAAGTTAAATCAGTTCAGCACTTGCTTTGACAGATGGGGAGCGCATTGCCAACAGCACGCTGATCGATGCCCTGCTGGACAAGGACTTTCAGCTTGTCATCAACAACGCAGTTTATAATATCTGCGCTCCTGAAAGGGGTACATTTATCTCCATTCATAAATTCTCCATTTGGCAGTTTTCCAATTACACTTGATCCTGGTGATAAAATGTGGTTATTATCTTCTATTCTTCTCATATTTCACTTTTACTTTCTCCTCGTTGTCTGCCCTGTTGCTCCCCCGTTACAGTGTGTGCATCTGCTGAGCACGCTATAGAGCTGGAGGACATGAAACATGTTGTGCACCTGCTGCACACGGCACTCCATCAGCCCGAACACCAGCTGCTGAAGGAGAGGGAGCTCCTGGAGAAACTGGACAACCTCAAACAGGAGCTTTCTCCTCTGGAGAAGGTACTCGATGTGTTGCAACAACCACTCACCCATGAAATTACTTTGTACCTTGTTATACTTGCTTGAAAGCTTCATTTAAAGGTAATGATGACATTTCAGCCTTAAAGACTTGGTAACCCATTTTTCTCTGCATTTTATTGGTGACAGATGAAGGCAGACCTGTCCGGTAAAGCAAACTTCCAGACATCCAGGGCTCTGTATGTTGGCCTGGCGCTGCTGTCCGTGCAGGGCGGCGCTCTGGCCTGGCTCACCTGGTGGGTCTATTCATGGGACGTCATGGAGCCCGTCACGTATTTCATCACCTACTCGACCAGCATGGCAGCTTTAGCCTACTATATCCTCACCAAACAGGTAAGACTCAGAGACATCTGACTGACTTCACCGTTTTCCTCTAGGTGTAGATGACAGCTGCTCCTCAGGCCATTTCACAAGTTGTTCCTTCAGACTTGGGCGTGTGATATATTGTGGACTGTGAAAACAACATGGAAGCTACAATAAAGATGTCCTGTATTGCTCTGAAGGGGTGAAGGTTGTTTGTAGTGTAAATAAATATGGCTCAACTTGACTTCTTATCAGGGTAACTGACAACTAGCAGTTAGAACCTATTACTCAGCAAGTCACGTACCAGAACTTTCACTGACTTTCGAAATGCTTTTCCTTTTAAATATTCTGATCATTTCAAGATCACATTTTGGGAAATACATCTATTTGCTCTGCCCAGTTAATAGTCTGGAAAAAGCCATAAAATCTACCCCAACTCTCTAGACCCAAGAAATGATAATAACCTCCTTTAGAAGGCTGATCTTACACTTTAGATGTTAAAAAGCAAAATATAGTTACACCTAATGCTCATTTGTGTAAAATTGTCATGTGTGCAGATATATTTTTAAATAATTAACCTACTTTATTCTCTCCTACAGGATTATGTATACCCAGACGCCCAGGACAGGCAGTTCCTGCGTTATTTTTATAAGGGGGCCAGGAAAAAGAGATTCAATGTGGAAAAATACAATGAACTCAAAGACAAGCTGGCCCAGGTTGGCTGACTGTTTTGTTTTACAATAAATCAGTCAGAATCTTTGTTACTGAATGTGTTTGTTTTTTTCTTAAACAAATCTACAAGGAACTGTTTGTTTTTTTTAATTAAAGGAAATATCAGCCAAAAATAAAAGCTCTGATAAATTTATTTCAGAAACCTGTAAAAGGTATGAACACCTGCTTTTCCAGTCTTTGATTTTCTGTTTTCTGCGTTTCAGGTGGAGGAAGACCTGAGGCGTCTGAGATATCCAACCCAACTCCAGCTACCAATTGAACAAATCCAGCCGAAGCCATAAATGAAGCCAAGCCATGAATGATGGTCCCTCAAACTTTAACAGAGGAAAAACAAAACTAATTTTCCTGCTTTATTTTGATAATAGCATCTTTTTATCTCAAATCCATGAAATTGTTTTCTTTAAGTATTAATAATGATGCCAATTATATCATCAAAAGAAAAAAAAAATAGAACAAAGATTGATTGCTAATGAAATGAAATGTTTCCCAAACCCCATTTGAATCTGGTGTCTTCCTGGTCTGATTGTGTGATTGTGAAGCACTTTGATTAAATCTGCATCGCGGCCGTTACAGGATTATTAAATAAAGAATGCAAACGCACTTTCTAACACAAATGCAATGAAGATTTTTATAAAACACCTTTTTATTGAGGGCAAGTAAAGTAACTAAATTATGACCACAAAAATACAGCATTGTTGTGTGTTCTGGCATATTCACCCCACCCACGCCACACACATACACCACATGACACAGTTTTAGGTCCAAAGTACAACTTTAAAGAACACACCCTCCTCCCTGAGGTACTTTTCACACTGGTATTGTCGTCTAGGTGCAAATATGCAGGAGTAAATGTACTATAAGTTACTGACACATAAAGAACATGAAATCCCTTTGTAAAGCAGTAAGGCTTAAGGAAACACACTGTTTATGTAGTGCTTGGACAGTTTGTTAAAGTGTTGGCTACTTGAGGCTTATAGTGAGATAATAATGAAACTGATGAGTAGGAGCATTCCACCGGAAAATTCCAGCTAAGAACTAAGAAATTCCAGTTTTAAGTGGAATGCACTGCATGTCGCCTATTTCTGAAGATGAACTGGAAAATATTTGTCTGGCTGAAAAAAAAAATCCTCAAAAACCCGTGAAACAGACTCCCTGAGTTTTCAAGCTTCCACAGACAGCGCTGAGCCGGTGAACAGCTCGGTGTTCAAGGCCGCTGCAAACTATGTGCTTTGAACTTGTTATAAAAGAAGGCAAACTGAACGCACTGCCGTGCAGTAAGACATCGTTCTGTACTACCAAAGTTATTTCAGTAGTTTTACGAAGCAGCCGAAAAAGACTGATTCATAACCATCATAATTTAAATACAGATGGGTTGTAATCCACATGGACGGGGATAGAAAAACTAACAGGAATACCAAATTTAACACAGCTACGCCATCAATGGCAGTATTTAAACGATGACAGTAGTTTTAATGTTGCCCGTTTTGGCAAATTTGTTGTCTTTTACACACCCCTGTCCCCCAGAACAAAACATCTCTGCTAGTTTTCCTCTGGCCTGTAGTGCCTTTTCTTCATTTCCAGCTCCAGGCATGTCTGCCTTCTCTTTTATATAATAAAATTAAATGTCAGTTATCTCGTTATGCTTAAAGGACTAAAACGACAAGTCAAATTTAAGAACTATTTTCCTTGTATGGAACTAAATCTGATCATCAAAAGAAACGTGAAGCTCAGCCACTAACTTGAACATCCTGGCATTCCCACATGAACTCTTTTTAATACTCAGGAAATAATTCCTGAAAGGGGACATCTGAGAAATATATTTCTGGGTCCTTGTGTCTTACGAGATAAGTGCCATTTAGTTGTGTTAAATTCAGGCAGAGTGGTTGTTTCAACAGCTGCTATCACAAAACTCTGTAATTAATTCATTACTAATGCAATCAAGATGGATAGCCACAACTACAGGCCTGAGGTAAATACAACTGATTTTCAATTGGATGTTCTCTATAAACTCATTAGATCTTGTTATATTTTGTGTCATAAGCAGCTTAGTCAGACTGGCAACCTGTCCTGGGTGTACCCTGCCTCTCGACCTATGGCAGCTGGCCCTGACAACCCTGAATTGGATAAGCAGGAGAGGATGGATGGATGGATATTCAACTTAGTCAGAAGACAGCCACAGTTGTGTTCACTAAGTAAAACAGCATCTCTATTTCCAACAACAGTTCAAATATCAGTTACTGTAGGGGTTGTTGGGTTGGACTCCATTATAATCCCAACTATTGGTTTGCATTCAGAGATAACTGGGAAAGTCTGACCAAGATTAAAGAGTTCATTTGTTTGTTTGCTTTCATCTTCTGGAAACCACGTTTTCACTGTTTAGTTATTTAAATTTTGCCATAAGAACAACACTAATTCTTTGCCAAAGAAACATGTTTTACATATGACCCCCATAGAGCCTAACAGGCGCTGAATGAAGCAATAAACTGCATTAGATGGTCACTTTGCATGTGTTCATATTCAGATGGTGATACAGAAAATTATATACATTTAGTCCTAATCTAGTTCCAAGTGTGAATTCCTGTTCAGAAGCCCTATCTAGTTAAAAAAAAAAACCCACATAAACCCGCTTATTGAAAGACTGAGGTGTGACAGTGTTACTTTTTTGGTCGGAAGTAAAGTTTCTTGGTGAGCATTGAAGCAAAACAAGGTACTTGCTTCTTCCCAATAGCGTGTAGGTCACGAGCTCTCAGAACACTCCTCATGGACACTTTTCTATTGACCAGCGTGAGTAACTCTGTGAATTCCAGGGTATCACCATGCTTTTGGAGCAATTCACACAGATCTTGGATATACCAGGAGCCATTGATAGTCTCCCGGTGTGAGTAATAACCTAAAAAATATTGAAAAGAAAAGTTAATATGGAAGGTGAAGAAAACGCAAATGGAAGAAGTATGGATTTTTAGGAAGCTATGAAATGTTAAATGCTTTACAGCAGGATTTATAGTGGCTCAATTGTACTGTTTTATTAAGAAAAATAAACCTATTTAGGCACTGGTCCAGCTCTTGATCACCAATAAATGAGCTTAGACATATAAATACAAATACACAAACAGTGTATAACACTAGCTGGACAGTTTGTGACACTGTAATCACGTGTCACTGGTAGCCAAGTGGAGACATTTTAGCTTTATATTATTATATAAAACAGAATAAACTATTAGATATATTTGAGGATACTATTATTCTAACATCACATATCTACCCTGTGATTAAAAATACACTCAGTTCAGTGTCTTTGATATTTCCTCTGAGCCCAAATAAAAAGCAAAAGGTTGAGTCAAATCCCAGAAGACTCACCTTCAGCCACAGAATAGCACATGATGAAATCAGCCCCAGCAGGCAGCGTGTGTATGGCACTGGCATCCACAAACACCTCTACTTTGCTATCCACTGCATCAGCAGGGGTAACCGGATCATCATGCTTTTCTCCTCGACATGCCTGGAGATGGATGGATGGAGCATTAAACTAAGGTAATGCAGCAAGTTAACGTGCTCTAATATAGCGGTCCCCAACCTTTTTTGCGCCACGGACCGGTTTATGCCCGACATTATTTTCACGGACCGGCCTTTAAGGTGTCGCGGATAAATACAACAAAATAAAACTAGTACCGGTACCGAAAAAAAGAAGATTTATTCACAACACA